GCCGATGACCCCCTGACAGGTAGGTGGCAACCAGTCAAGGGCCGCCGACTGTCGTCGGGTCCAACAGTGCCTGTATCTGTTTATGCTTGCAGCACTGAGTAGAACCAGGTCTGTTCTGCAGCATGGTCTTATGTTTCCTTCGTGTTTTTTGAAGCTGTTGTTAGGTGTACCTCATGAACCGTTTGTAGAGACGGGTCTGTGCTGCAGCTTGGGCTTATGGTTCCTACATGTGTTTTGGAGCTGCATCTGATTACTCTAGCAAGGTCTGTCCATGCCTTTTGCGAGACCTTGGCGCGTGAAACCTTTTCATTTGTATTCTGCTGCAAATCCGCGGCGATGTGATCGTGAGTTCAAAGCAAAAGCAAACGAGAGTGCAGGCTGTTCTTATGGATACATGCAGGGAATGCTGCAGGTACTGGTGGTTTCGACGTCTGGTGGAGACTGTGCTCATTACCATCTTCACCCGAATAGAACACCCTGTCATTATCGCTGTATCTAGACGGAAAGTTGCCTCAAATACACGGTTGTAATGACCAGGCGTTGTACTCGGGTGAAGACGGTAGCCTTGTTAAGCCAAGATTCCCTAAGCATACAGTACTTGAAACGGCAGCCTTGCCCTTTTCCATGTGTGGAAAAGAGAGCAGTTGTGCTCAACGGGTTCTTAGTTTGAACTCTCGACCTGTTTGATCAGTTTGAAAGCACTGTATGCTGAATGGATTATGAGTTGTGGATGAACAGAAGCTGATAGTCTCTTGGAGCAGTTCGAAGCAGAAATGAGGTAGCTATATATATATTAGCCTCCTGATGAGTCGGTGAAACTCCGACGAAACAGTTTGTCACAGCCCCTCGTTTGTTGTCCTCTTCTCCCTCTCTGCCTACGGTTTACCGGGCAGTTCTATTTGATGATATATATATATATATATATATATATATATCGTCACAATATATATATACGGTGTTGCGGGTCTGCGGGAGAAGCAGGCATTTGCGGTTAAGTTGCAATTTGCAAGAGCAAGTTGTTATGAGTGCGAATGTGCCTCTGTGGATGGATCTATGATTGGGTGTGTGGGCCATGTTGTCGGTTTGCCATTCATGGAAGCGGGATGTTCTTAGAGGCTGTTCTTCTCTTCTTTTGTCTGCTGCGTGTGTCCTAAACCACCACTACCTCTATCACTGGGACGCTACGTCGCAAAAGTAGCCTACTCGGACTTCTCCGCATTCTTTAGAGGCCAGCGGAAGCTGCCGCTACCGGACCACAAAGGCTGGCGGCGCCAGCCGAAACAAAGCAAAAAATGCTGCACTGGCGCTTCGGCACCCCATTGGTGCGCAGGGAAATTCAGGGTCGGCAAAGCGAGGCTCGGGAGGTAGTGGTGGTTTGAGATGGTTGTATGTATCAGTAGCTGGCTAATGACCAACCTATCTCCTGTTTGGATAACTGATATAACTTCTGTTGGTTTCTTTGTCATCGTTTGGCTTGGCAGCAGTCTGATGGCGCAAGCTCGTCTTTGATGTCTAGCCTCTTGCGAGAGAGGGGAGCTATTCATGGGAATTTGGCACAGGTAAATGTTTTTTGCACCTTTGTTTTGCCCAACCGCTCGGCATACCCTGTCAATGCAACCAAGTTCATAACATCAACATCCAATCTGGGCCTCTTTTTTTTTTTTTTTCCAAAGGGGGAAAAGGCAGGTCCTCTTGGGCGTACCTCCTCCTATTCTGGGGAGTGTCAGTCTGGTTCCAATTCCGCCGGCAAGTCAAAAATACGTGTGTAAATGGGCCTCGACGATACTCTCCCTGGCAATCCATGCTTCCTCTCCCTTTGTCTTTCTTGCTTCCAGTTGCTTCCCATTACATTGTCTCTCTCCTCTTGCCTCTTGGGCTGTCAGTTCGGTTCCGATTCCACCGGCAAGTCGAATGCCCCCGCGAGTCAAACTGTCGCTGGCCATCCTTGCTTGAGCTCAGTCACACAAATTTGTTGTTCCTCTCCCTTCGTCTTCCGCTTTCCCATTTGCTTCCCCTTAGATAGTTCGCTGTGCTCCTGGCTCTTTTGAATCTGTTCCTTGCTTCTTGTGCCCCGCCCGCTTCTCCACTTCCCTCCCTCTCGCTCTCTCAACGTACATCCCTCAAGTAACTTTTCCTTCTCGCATAGAGTGCTGTTATTCTCAGTTGTAATATGTGCTACCATGCGGTTAGTATTGCCTTTTCCTGGCACATGAAATGGATCCACCATTCTTCGGCCCATGATACCTCCCTTCCACCTTCCCTGACCAATCAAGCTGCAACTGTCCTGCGCAGTCTTGGTTGCCATACCCTATTCATTGCCCATCTCAAAGGTTTCTGTAAACCCCGTCTACCCTGCAGGTGGAAGGGTTCAAGTACGTTCGTGTTCTGTCTCCATGCGCTGCCGACTCGTTGAGGCGGATACATTGTGTGTGTTCTGTCTCCATGCGCTGCCGACTCGGCCCGAAGAAATGACGCCAGTTCCCGAAGAATTCAGAGGCCGGGCCCGAAGAAATGACGGCTGCCATTGATAAATCTAATCGGCGGCCGTCGTTTCATTTCCGCCTCTCGGAAGGTCGGAGGCCCGCTATTTTCCGAAACGACAAAGGTACTCACTGGTGGTTTAAGATCTCTCCTTTCCACATGTGACCTTGCGCGACGCCAGCTCCGCACATCATCGTACTCTGCCTGACTGCCCTGTTTTTGGCTTCTCTGTGGCGCACCATCCTTGTTCCGTTGTCTACAGCTGGAGGATGTTATTAACCAAGCTCAAGTCACGAAAAGCACACTCGCTCAGCAGCGGATGACATTCACGGAAATCAGCTCGAGAATGAGTGTGATAGCTGACAAATTGCCCATGGTGCGCAGCCTTCTAGGTACGTGACTTGCCATTGTCACCGCCTCTTCGGCTCCTTGTCTTGTTGTGGGAAGTGCGCTCATGACAAATATGAATGTGTGCCTGCGGTAACATGTGCTTCCTATGTGCCGTATCAGCCTGCTGATCATCTTTCTGCCTGTTTTGCCGGACACGAGCTCCATGATTGTTAAACTGTTAGAGTAGAATGGACTGTTCTTCTGCAGGTGTTTGGTGAATGGTTTTCTTTCTCTAAGATGGGGTTCATTTTCTTGAAGGCGGCAGAGGGCTAAGAATGGAGCGAAAGAGTCTCTGTTCCTCCATTATGGACTGCACTTTCAGGACAATTGTGGGATTTCTTGCAGGGAAATCAGAGAACCTCCTGCCCAAGTGACTGGCATTTATACAAGTCTTGTCAGTGCTATTGTTGTTAGCAGATTTTTACAGCACTGATGCCTACACGTTCATGCAGATGAACGCTTTGTGGCTTTGCCCCCACGTCCATCGCCACCCTGCTTCCCTCCTTCCACCACCATTCCCCGTGCTTCCCTCCTTCCACCACCTCTCTCTCTCTCTCTCTCTCTCTCTCTCTCTCTCTCTCTGTGTGTGTGTGTGTGTGTGTGTGTCTCTCAAACAGGGTACCATCTTCTCGGCAAGCCACACTTTGGGCTGGGAAGCATGCACATGAATACGTGCCGTCACCGTCTCTCTCTCTCTCTCTCTCCCCCCCTCTCTCTCCCTCGCCCCACTCTCTGTTGATTGGAATGTCAGTTTGTCAAAACCTGCATTCCTCCTTTCTATGGCTATCCTCCCCCTGCTTCCCTCCTTTCTATGGCCATCCTCCCCCTACTTCCCCCCTTTCTGAGGCGAGCGCTGGCCTCGGTAACTGTGCCCCTTGGAATAACTCCTGGGAAATTTTGTGAAAGCTTCTGCTTAGAAGAACCTTTTTGAAGCGGTGAATTGTCTTTTGTCAAAGCAGGTAGACGACCTCATAACCAGTCCAGCCCTCGTGCTTTCGCAGATCCTCACAAACATGTTCTTGGGTTTTTCCTTGCAGGTTTGATCAAGAGGAAGAAGTCAAAGGACACTATTATCCTGTCGCTAGTCATTGCAGCCTGCACCATTTTTCTTATCGTGTACTGGCTTTACAAGTGACAATATGTTATAAGTCTGTCAAGCGTATCGGTGGCTGCACCATGCCAACTAACTTGGGGATGGCTGTGAAGCACAATTTTATGTCCACTGCATGGAGAACTCACAAGTCAGCTGCACGGATAAATATCTTGATAGGTCGCTGCAATGATTTTGTCACTCGACTGCTGCCACCATGTGTGCAAGCTTATGAGGTACATATCGATCTTCACAACCATCATGTGTGCAAGCAAACAAGGTACATAGGAATCTTTGCAACTGTCGTGTGAGCAACCATTTAACGTACAAAGGGCAACCAGTGAAGGTACATAGGGGTCTTTCCAAGCATCTCTCTCTCTCTCTCTCTCTCTCTCTCTCTCTCTCTCTCTCTCTCTCTCTCTCTCTCTCTCTCTCTCACACACACACACACACACACTCTCGCTCTCTGTCTCCCGCTCTCTCTCTCGCTCTCTCTCTCTTCCCCCCCCACCCCCAATTGTTTAATGCCTTCCGGCCTCCCCGTGCTCAGTGTACCTTTCGGTCTGTCCTTCCAACAGCTGCCTGCCCCTCTCTCTTCTGCTTGGCATCAGACTACCGGTAGGCTCCTCGGCAAACTGCAGACGTAGTCCAATAAAGGGGTTCATATGTTTCAGCGCTCCGTTAATGATGTGACTGGCTATGTGCCATGATGGATTCATACTAAATTGCAGTGGATGCTACATTATCAGAGTGACCCAGGACCACTTGCCAGTCGCAACATAGTTTTTTTAATTTTTTTTTTTTTTTATTTACTGGCTTGCCTAGCCGGGCTGCCCGGTTGGTAATGCAGAGTGGATGTTATTTCTGCTCAGCCGTGGAATTAGGAGGATTATCTATGAGCGATGAGCTCTCATTGGTTTTGTGACCTCCATGTCTGGGGGCTCCTATGGACTATTGTGTGTAGCACTGTGTACATGTAATGTTTGTATTTTGTAGTACAGTCTTCCATAAAGCCCAACAAGTTTTTCATAGTCAATTGACAAGTGAATCCAAAAATTAAAAAAAAATGAATACTGTAGTCAAAGAAATTGGCAAACAATCAGTGAAAACATCAGCAAAGAAGTACAAAAAGAAAAAGCCTCAATGAAATCAATTTACATATTTCATGCAAATTCACACAATTCCTTCGCTTAGGGGTATTTTATTTGAGTTTTTAATACTTTTTATGTGTTATTATGCAATGGTGGATCACCGGCGGCAATAAGTCGAATTCTCGAATTACGAAAACAATTCAGGATTCAAAACTTGACAAAGTGATTTAGGCTCATGTAGCTAAATATTATGTGGACCCTCTTTTTGCTGATGTGGTTGTTAAACACTGGCGTAGTTTATTTGTGTCAAGTGTGTGTTTGTGCTTCTGCTATGCATAGCGTATGGAATTGCATTGCTATAAGCCTCTGCCTATGTTTCTGCTTTGATAGGCAATCCTTGCTATATAACCACTCAGGATACTAATTTCCAGTGGCTGTTATTGCTGCTAAGGCATTTAGCTAGGATATGATTATCTATGTGCAATGAGCTCCCATTAGTTTTGTGGCATCCATCTGTGTGCTCCTACGGACAATTGTTTGTGTACATGTAATGATATAAATCATATAATAATGTTTTTATCTGTGTTAAACTCCGGGCCGCCCGGCAGCCCAGCCTTCGTCCGGCAGGGGTCCCGGGCGGCCCAGCCGGTTGGGTCCCCCGGTTTGGCGCCGGGCGGGCCCAGCGCATTTTTGCGCGCGGGGGGGGGGAGGCCATTTTCGAAGTGGTTTGGCCCGTGGGTGACTTCCCGCCCCCCGACACAAATTTTTTCAACGGGCGGCCTTCGAATTTTAACGCGCAGTTTGTCGAAGAGCTGCCCATTTTATTTTTTCGTTCACGTTGCCCGCCGTCGCTGCCCGCCGTTGAAGAGGTTCCTGTTGCTGGCCGCCATCGGAAAGCTGCCCCGTCGTGGTCGATACAGTCCCGCTGTGGTATCCGCCTCCACCTCCTTGCTTCCTCTTCTTCTTCTTCTTCCTCTCCTCCGCCTCCACCTCCATTCATCTTCTTCTTCTTCCTCTCCTCCTCCTTTCCTCCTCTTCTTCTTCTCCCCCTCCACCTCCTCCTCGTCTCGTCTTCTTCTCTCGTCGTCGTCCTCCTCCTCCTCCTCCTCCTCCTTTTCTTCTTCTTCTCTCCTCCTCCTTCCTTTTTCTTCTCTCCTCCTCCTCGTCCTCCCTTCGTCTTTTTCTCTCCTCCTCCTTTCTCCTCCTCCTCCTCCCTGCTTCATTGGTTTGCTTTAGTAGGCGAAGTGCCACGTGTCGGGATTTCTCTCTCTCTCTCTCTCTCTCTCTCTCTCTCTCTCTCNTCTCTCTCTCTCTCTCTCTCTCTCTCTCTCTCTCTCTCTCTCTCTCTCTCTCTCTCTCTCTCTCTCTCTCTCTCTCTCTCTCTCCCTCCCTCTCCGCCTCCTCCTCCTCCTTCCTCATGCTCTTTTTTTTTTTTTTTTGTCATCACCATCCTAATCTGGCAGGTCCTCGTCGTCCTCCTCCTCCTCTCCTCTTCTTTCTCTTCTCTCCTCCTCCTTTTGTCATGTCCTTCTCTCCTCCTCCTCATCTCCCCGTCTTCTTCTTCTTCTCTCCTCCTCCTCCTCCTCCTCATCCTCTCTTCTTTTTCTTCTCTCCTCCTCATCCCCTCTTCTTTTTCTTCTCTCCTCCTCCTCCTCCTTTCGTCTTGTCGTTCTCTCCTCCTCTTCCTCCTCTCGTCTTCTTTTTCTTCTCTCCTCCTCCTCCTCCTTTCGCCTTGTCCTTCTCTCCTCCTCCTCCTTTCGTCTTGTCCGTCTCTCCTCCTCCTCCTTTCGACTTGTCCTTCTCTCTTCCTCCTCTTCTTCTTCTTCTCTCCTCCTTCTCCTCCTCCTTTCGTCTTGTCCTTCTCTCCTCCTCGTCCCCCTTTGTTCTTCTCTCCTCCTCCTCCTCCTCCTTTCATCATCTTCTTTTTCCTCCTTTCTTTATCTTCCTTTTCTTCCTCCTCCTCCTCCTACTCCTCCTTGTTCTTCTCTCCTCCTCCTCCTCCTCCTTTCGTTTTTCAAGTCTCCATCTTTTTTCTCCTCCTCCTCTCCCCCTCCTTCCCTCCTCCTCTTCTTATCCCTCCTCCTCCTTTCGTCTTCTTCTTCCTTCCTCCTCCTCCTTTCGTCTTCATTTTCCCTCCTCGTCTTTTTACTCCATATCTTACCGCCCACCATCTCGCACATCCGCCAGCCATATTGTACCGCCTGCCATATCCTACTGCCCACTATTGCCCGCGTTTTTTTTTTCCTGCCCCAAAAAAAGGACGTAAGGGGGCAGACAGCAGCCCCATTCACAACTGCACAGACTTCTTCTTCTTCTTCTTCTTTTTCTTCCCTTCTTCTTTCTTCTACTTCTTCTTCTCCTTCTAATTCTTCTTCTTCTTCTTCTTCTTCTTCTTCTTCTTCTTCTTCTTCTTCTTCTTCTTCTTCTGATATTTTACTTTCTTCTTTCCCGCGCTGTTGGTCCTTGCATCCTCTACTTCCACGACCCTATGGCGGGCGGTGGCAGCGGCGTTGGTGGGGGGAGTGGCGGGTCTGGAAGGACGAGAGGCAAAACGGCAGCAGACAAAGGGAAAGGAAAAGTTGCACGCACCTCCACTACACCCGCATCGACAGTGACCTCCAAAGACCCCATGCTGGCAATGGATCATTCGCTGCAACACACCCTTTTAACCCCTT